CGCAAGTCAGCTGTCAGTCAGTTTACCAGAAGCAAAGATAACAGATGTGATAACCAAAGTAGAGGCCTTCCGTGTAAAGCAAGAGGTTTCTTGGCATGACTGAGAAAAGCTATTGGGTCTGTTAAATTTTGACACCATAGTAGTGTTCTTAGGCACGTTAAGAAAAAGGCAACTAACTCATCCGGGGTCGAAGTTGCTTTGCAGAAACAGAAATATTGCTTCTTCTCTCCCAATTCAGTTCAAGAATCATCTGTCATGGTGGACAAGGTTGGACAATCTAATCAGACCATCACCCTGGATTCCCCCTCAATCAGACTTGGTTGTTTGTACGGACTCGTCTGAGATAGGATAGGGATACCATTCGTCAAAAGGAGAGTTCCGCCAAGGGAAGTGGACCAACTCCCTTCGGGACCAACACGTAAACATCAAAGAATTAGCTGTAGTTCTATTCTTTTTGTTGGCGAACCCAAACTTCGAAAACGTGACAATTCTGTTTGCCATGGACAACACAGTGGCAGTGTTTTGTCTCAATCATCAAGACTCAACCAGATCTTGGACTCTTCTCACACTATCAGAAATTTTTTTCAAGGTTTGTGTAACACGACAAGTATACCTCAAGGCAACTCACATACCGGGAGTACAAAACAATTGGGCAGATGCGTTGTCCCGTCTTCGGCCAGTGTCAACGGAAACAGAATGGTCCCTAAAGCCATCGCAGTTCAAGAGTCTAGTGAGGAAGTTTGGGACTCCACAAATAGATCTCTTTGCCTAACAAAAAAATCACAAGCTGCCAATTTATGCTTCCCTGGAACAATTCGAATCTTCTAGGAAATGCTCACTCCTAGATTGGAACCGTTGGAATTCAATCTATCTGTTCCCATCTGTGAAAATGTTATGCAAAGTGGTTCACAAACTCAGATCCTTCCAAGGAAAGGTCCTCTTAATTGTACCACATTGGTTCCTACAACCGTGGTGTCTGGATCTGTTGGACTGGTGCCCGCATCCACCACAATTGCAACAAGGATGTCTAGACCAGGTGCTGCACCCTCAGTTCAAGACATCCTTGGCACTTTACGCTTGGAATTTCTCAAAATATGTTTAAATAGATTGCTGGGTAATTCCAATACATAGTTAACCAAGTGATAGCAGGTCATAGGCCCCAAACTTATATGCAATATGAGAAAGCTTGGAGTCTTTTTCAACAATTTATTAAGTTAACTGCTCCAGATACATTGTCGGAGACAGTGGTGTTGGAATTTTTGGATTTCCTGTTCAGAGTTAAAGGCCTTCAGTGTTCTACAATTGCATCTTATAAATCATCATTGGTTGGCCCTCTGGTGTCGAGTTTTAACATTAGTACTTTGAACCCCCCAAAACTTATCAAATGCTTAGATCATCCTATTTCCTTCACAAACCCCCTCGGCCTCAGAGAATTCCACTACCGAGTTGACAGATAAAAAATTTCAGGCCTAATTCGATTTGGCATACAGGAATTGGGCTCTACAGTCAGCCAAAAAATGCCTCTGATTACATAACTGGGATTAAAACAATATTTTTTGTGGACACTGTATAATAAACTTAAAGTATATGCAAACAGAAGAAAAATATATTGGTATACAGACATTATTTCATTAAAGCTACAGTAAATTAGTTGGTTCTTCATCAAAGCTCTGCAATGGATAGAGAGTGATAGGGCTTTCCTGTCTTTTTGTTACTTTATTATTTAGTGCACTGACTATCCCTATGATAATCAGCAAAAGCCACTTGAATTGGACATCCTCTCTGGATGATCTTAGGGTCATCCAGGTTCACTAGAACAACATACCCTCTGTACAAAAGGAATCTGCTCTCACTATGTAGAATTTAATGAATATCTTTGGAATTTTCAGAGAGGTGTAAAGAAATTTAACCACTGTAATATGAAATTGAAGTTTATTAGATCTTTGGTAATGAGAAAAAGTGAGCTTACAAATATTCTGCGGACTTTGGAGTCCTTTTCATTTCGAAAACAGTAAGAAGGAAATTGTTTTATTAATAAATGAGAACAGTTTTTGACGCTGGATGGTGACTTACGGTTCCTGGTCCAAATTTGGGCAAGGCTGAGTACTGTATGTAATTAACTTCTTACTGGATTGGAGTCAAGTGAAGTTTTAAGGATATACTGTACAGGGTACATATTATATATATTACACACACACGTGTGTGTGTGTATGCCTCTCGGGATGGTGACAGTTCTTCACGTTTCTGCAGGGAGGGAAAGACCTAGAGGAACAGAACACTGCTGATGGCTGTGAGTGAATGGAGAGGAAGGGCGGGAGAGGGACTGTAGTATCATTTTGGCTTATTTATTGTCTCACAACATTTGGTCAGTAATATATGAATATATAATTAACCACACTAGTAACATAGGCACACACTTCCTAATTTCTGATACATCATTATCTTTACTACATATTAATAGTTTGCTTAATAAATACAGTACTGTACTGGGTTGTAGCTGGAGACATTTTACCTTACCCCTCTCACATCCCTATTGTCACCTTCCAATCACTACCCTCCTCAACTCCCCACTAGCCCGTTACCCTCCTCACACACCGGCCCCCTCTTCAAGTCACAAGTGAATGCTTCAGACGCAGGTTCATATGCCGTGGTTCTCAACTCTGAGAGATGAGGATTGACAACAGGAACCATTGACATTTGGTTAGTGAATCTACCACATTCAGGACATATACTTAACAATAATGTAAATGAACTATATTATACATATGTGAAAGTCCATATCTGGGTAATACACCCTATAAACTGGAGAGGTGATTGCTTCGGATGCGGGTTCATAATCTCGTAGTTCACATCTCTCGGAGATTAGGAGTGACAACGCTGACTGTAGCAGGTGGAAGGGTATACAATAGTACATGCATCTTTTTCATCTTCAGAGTTGGTAAGTGAATCTTCAATAATGGACAGAGGAGATTATCCACCTGACACCATCATAGTCAGGTGGAATTACCTGAGATCATCATTGTCGGGTGGGATTATCTAACATTGTCAGTCAGGTGGTATTACCTGACATTGTCAGGTCAGATTACCTGACACTGTCATAGTCAGGAGGGATTATAAAAAATTGTCATAGTCAGGTGGGATTACCTGAAACATGGTAGGGGATTAGTGGTACTTAGGCAACCTGAATTTCAAAATGCACAAGTGCTCTTCACCATGTCTGAGATAACACTTGCAGTCCTACAGTATGAGTGGGAAAATTATGATTGAATATGGGGTGGTGATCGTATTGGCATTGTTCACCACATATAGTGCGACAATCTCATCGAAAGGATTAATTAATTGTATTGTGTGTTTATTAATGGAGAAGTAACATCTTTCTTTAATCATATTCAATATATAATAGTAACACTAAGTACTATCAACATATCAACATTTAAAATTTCTCTGCAATATTTACACCTTAACATTAACCCCACAATTCACAGCCAATTTTCATGATACAGTATGGTAATGGCAAGAAGTATTTGAGCAGTAAACCTTTTACCACTTATTATTAGTGGTTTTTGAGCGTCAATATATGTAAAATTTACAATTGAAGAGATCAAAGGGGTAAGCTGGGCCTTCACTGGGGGAATACCGTCCTCCAATTACAGTATCTATACTCCAACTTAAATGTATCTTAGATACTCTTATACAGCAGACAGAGTTTTTACTCAATCCAAAATACTTCATTAATGCATGTGACTGACATAAGAGTATTGTTTGATATTTTAGAGTGCGTACTGTACTGCACTAAAATTCTGAACATTTCTGACTTTTACAAAAAATATTTAAACTGCAAAACTTTAAAAGGCACCAAATGTCACATAATACTTGCAATATTACATTTAATTTTATTTAGGTTTAATTCATTTCCCATTAATGGGAGAGTACTGGTGCTACAAGTCCCACAACAGGTGTAAATGTACTTGTATCATCAACAGTATAAATCATGACTTCCATAATACCTGAATGTTTCAAAGTTATTCAAGTTGATTCATGTTTAATTACCAGAAATTTCTATTGAGAAAAGTCTCTTGTCATCCTCTAGCATGATCTATTGACCTAATGTTTGATTTATCAATTTTGTTATGAACATGATCCTAATTTACAATGTCTAATCCTCCCCCTTTTGCCATCAGCTGGACGACTGTCTATACTGTACAGTACACAAAATCTCTGTTAAGAAATAAACATTGTTTTATACATTAAACTGAAAGGATACAGGTATATGTCATGTCAACATACATCACTGTTATTAGGCACTGTAATATCCCTCTTTTCTTGACATAATGTCAGTACAGTATTTTCCTTTACCTCCCTAACACACCTCTGCAATAAGCAGGACACCAAACTCAGCCACAGCTGTACAGGTAATCCCATTTGTAGTTTACCTCATGCAATTTGGGATTAGGTATTTTCCCTGCTCTCTGGAAATTCTCATGAGCTGCTACAAACATTACTGCTTAATGTGTGTCAGGAGGTGAGTATTGACCTATTGTGTGCAGGTGATTAATTTCTAATTAATATATATATATATATATATATATATATATATATATATATATATATATATATATATATATATATATATATATATATATATATATATATATATATATATATATATATATATATATATATATATATATATATATATATATATATATATATACTTTAATGATTTGGGGTTGCACTTTATTGGCGACAGCACTGGAAAATGCTTGGGAACCCCTGGTTTATGAGGGTAATGTAAGATAAAGTTTTTGATACAAGCAGCCTTCACTTCCAGGTGAACCATTGACTCGGTGTTTAATTTAAGGAGCAGTGAAGCTTCAGGGTTAAGGAGTAGAAACCTTCACTTTAATTTATATGATTCAAGTTCCTTTGCCCTATGAAGAAAGTTCATACTCCTGCTGATTTCTAATCCCAAACAGGAAGGAGGAAATGAAACTAGGCCATTTGTGTTTTTCCCTATGACAAAGAATGAGATTTCATATTTCAATCTTTCATTTATTACCTTCTGGTCATTTGTGAGTGACTTGGGATTTTAAGCCATCCACAAATAGAATACAATAGATGGGGTTTTAGTCAATTGTATCTTGACAGCACCCGACTCTGAAGAATTTACATCTACATTAAGAAAAGACTCATGTTATGAGTACTTGATTGAGCCACACAGTCACAGCTCTTCTAAGAGGTACCTTAAAATTAACACAAGTTTCTAGAATAGATTTTATACATACTGGTAATGTTAAAGGTAAAAGAGGAGGCAAAACCTCTTAAATCTTGTGCTCAGGCCATAAAACAAGATTGCATTGTTTTCTTGAGTCATAACTAAAATAGTATCTTAAGAATGAGCTTTGGATGATGCCTGAAGATCAATGGATTCTCTTTAAGGTGTTCTGTAATACCCATTCACTGATGACTGTAGATCTGGAAGAGACCTAATATAAATAATGAATTTAAGAATGATCTCTTAAGATATATTGGAAGCAAGGTTAAGTGCTTCCTAAACACATTTTGGAAACTGCTGTACTGTAGCTATGCATTTAAATAATGCTAATGTACGAGCAAAGAACATTTTGGACTGAAATGCCCAACAAGAATATATATTAACACAACATGACATATGCAAATACTGCACATAAAAACAATGCAAAATGTGGTCAAGTTATGAGGACAGCCAAGACTGTCCATTATGGCAATTTTCACTCTACATACTGTATTACATCACTCACATAGCATCACATGTACAGTATATTAAAATAATGAATTAAATGATATTCTAAACACTGAACACACTAACCAACTGTATAGCTTACAATGGACCAAAAAACAAAAATAAAATAATACAAGCATAACACTTAGTCTCCTTGGCTCATCTACATGAATATATTTGCAGCAATAATGCCTAACAATGACCAGGAGGAACTACTGTTACAGGAAATGTGGGATCAGGAGCAGGAGTTTCCTTATATTGTCGAAGGTATCTTAACCATATTAGCCTATAAGAGGGTTTCAATTCCTGACCTGATGTCCAACTGGTGCTGGAAACAACTGCCAGATCAAATGACACCAAATATTTTACCATGGTTCACAAGGTGAGAAACCTGCTGTTACCAAAAGCTTTATCCAAAATCATCCTTCTGAGGAGTATATCTTGCTCTTCAAGATTTCAGAGGCCCTCAAACAAAGTTATTAAGCAGTATGAAACATACAGGTTATTCAGTGAGAACTTTACATCATGTAAAATCAATTGAATGAAATGATTAAAAAGAAATGTTGGATTATTGGTGAGAGAACATGACAACACTGTACGAGTATTTACATGTTGACAAAAAATACCGAAGATAATTTTGCACAAAACCTCATACTTTAGTGCACGGAAAAACTGAATACATGTAAGATTGAAAAGAATTCGGAACAAAGGTAAGATATGCCTCTATGTTTCTCTGGTGAACTATTAAAATATCCACCTTTTGAATGTGTTCATATTACATCATTAAATTAGGTAGGTTAAATAAACTGTAAAACAATATTTTCATATAAAACATAAATTAGTAAAATTTTAATTAAAATACAATCCAATGTGTAGATTAATAACTAAAACATCCTCAAATAATATCACAGGGTAAGCAAATAAAATTATCATTTGAGAAAACATTGAACTAAAGAAATAACTAAAATACGTAGTTTTATATAAAAATGGCAATAAAACATGAGAAAGTAATATATTATCCCCATAAAAAAAAGGTATTAAAAGGGTAGTCATTTAATAATTACTTTTAAGTAACCATAAATTACTGTAAATACTTTTCGTAGCTGACACTGTGACTATTACCTGTGTGGTGAATACAAAAAAATATTTTTTCTCCATGTAGTTAAGGAAGTTAAAATGCATGCTTTCTACAGAACAACAGTGCTCTCCAGACCGACTTTACTCCAGCACTGTTTGTGTTATAGTGTTAGTATTCTCTACAATCTTCAGTTTTCACTACTGTTCACCGTATTTGGCCTCATTCTATAATAATCCTATCACATGAAAAATAAGAAGGTACAATATAGCCACCAAAACAGCCATGAAGCCTCCTCCATAGACAACACGATTATAAATGTGGTGATTTGAGGTCCTCACAAGTTTGATGATGCCCTCTACTTGCTTTCTGTGGAAAAAATAATAAGGAATGAAGCATCTAATACCATTTATGTCTAATAGGAAGAAGCAAGTGACCTACATGATCCATGCCACCAAATCACCCCCTGGCAGAGCCTGTTTCTGCCGGAGGACCGTGGCACAATTAAGAGCATGATACACTCTCTAGACAGATCTGAGTCTTTTGGATCCAGTGGTTTACTTACTGTCCAGAGAGGCATCAAATTAGGGGTTGAAATTCCCAAGAGACTTTGAATTTGAACCACTTTTGGTCATAAGATGGAAGCTTATTGTTCTGGTCCTCAGTTCTTGTTAAGTTCAAAATTTGCTTTCATTTCAAAACTGAAAGGCACAGTTAGTGCTGTAAATGTTACTAATGTCCATGGCCCCTGGGTCAGCCTCACACAGTGTCATTTAGGGCCATGCAAAATAAATTGCGCTTGCACAACTCCCTAAAAAATCCCATACCTCCAGATTCTAAATACAAAGACTGAAGGATAATAAAATCAATTACAATATGCAAGCTTAACTCCTTGGTTGCTCCATGTGAGGTCACTAATAAGACTATACTACACAGGCTAATTCCAGGAGGGGATGTTGTTGGTTTGATGACCCAGTAGAAACTAAAGATCAGGAGCAGAAATTTTATTTTATGAACAGAAAGGATTAAAAAAACTGAGTCTTTTGTGGGTTTTGGCCCCTGACCTGACATTTCATTGGATATTGAGACAACCATGGGAGCAAATCTTCAATCCTGGTTAAGATGGGTGAGAAGGCTACTTGCAGGAAAATATTGTCCATCTACAATAGGTAATGAAGTCTGCTGTTAGGCATGACAGGGTACTCTGACAAAGGCATGTTCTGTCAGAGGGTGACTTAGCAGTAGAGATAACACAGATTACTTAGTGATAACCTGTAAGTCAGAAAAACAGGGAGAAGAATGTGCTTTAATTTGAGGAAAGATGTCATTATACCTAAAAATAAAGGTCTGCTGAGTTATTGTTAATATAAAAAGATACCAATCTTTATTATCATTGATAACAATTGTCAACTATGCAATTAATTTTCTATGTTGCCTGACAAAGTTTACTTTAAAATGTAAATTACCAAATTATAAGTCCTTTAAATAAATAATAATTTATTGGACAAATACAAAATAAATGTACTGCACATTATTCTTGTAATTTTTTATCAATGAAAATTATACTGGTACCAGTTACTTGGACCAGAATTCACTCCAAATTTAATCTAGCTTTACTTTAAAATACTGCATTAATCTTGAAAGGAAACATACAAAATATTAAGCAAACTGTTGATTTCAACAAATCATAATTCAAACTAACTTAAAATCTTTGCACTTTACTGGAGGACAAAATTCTCTAGTCACCTAACTCTTCTAAATTATAATCTTTGTTTAAAATTTTAAGAAGAAACACCAATTTCCCAGCCTTCTCTATTCCTACTCTATTTCCAAGTTTTGAATGTACCAGTCTCTCTTTCCCTCTCAAACTGTTTGTAAATGAATTTATAAAACTTTCAACTGTAAGAGTAAAGTAGAATATTATTTCCATGCATTAAGATGAACTCATACTTGATTTATGCCTTTAAGCATGTAGGATATGACACAAACATACAAATATATACTGTAACTGCATATTTTTAAACACATAAACAAACTTAAATCCCTCTACACAAACAATAAAAGCACTGCATGGCTCAGCTAACCTGGTATTGCTTAAGCTTCCCGAATTTTCAATGATAATGTCTGCCATATTGCACTTCTTCTCAAGGGGCATTTGGGCTTCAATTCGACTTATGGCCTCTTTCTCAGTATACTGGTTTCTATCCATTAGTCGTTCAAGCTGCGTCTCATCATCACTGTTTTAGAAAAATAAATGAACCATAATGCTACAAGCAGAACATAAAGTTAGGCAATTAAATAAATATTTAAACAGATTCACAAGTGTTTCATTAACTTATTCTCCTTGCTTGATCTATGTGAAGCCTAAGACCAGGAGCTATTACATACTTTGTGTCAAAGTAGGAGCCAAGAGGGCAGGAGTATGAACTTTCTTTTAAGGCTTTAAGTGGTTTTAGCCCCTAAACTGAAGCAACTATCAAATCAAATGAGACTGAATATTAGACCCCAATTAAACTAGTGAAGAAGCTATACTTGCAGAAAAAAGCATTGCCCACTTAAATAGTGTAACCAACCATAAGACAAGTCAAGGACATGTCACAGATGCAAAATTTGATATTATTTCAAGGAAATAAGGTCTGGTAACTTACCAAGAAACAACAATTGTCTTGTATAAGTAAGATGTAACTTTATTACTCTCAAAGAGAAGTGGAAGATCCAACACCACAAATTGCTCTCCTGAAATTTTTAAAGAAAATATTAAAGCCTTTCATTAAAATAAGCAATTCAATATTACTGAGTTGGTCCTTGAGGCAGAGACTAAAATGAATATAACCCCATCATCCCTGTACCTATAACCTCTTGTGTACAGCATCCCTTCTGATTTGAATAAAATTGTCTGGCATTAGCCAAATAAAATAATAAAAGCGGTGCCCCCCCCCCCCATAGTGAAAAGGTTAATGAGTGAAAGCCTGGATATGCATTACCATTATTCTTGCCACTGTACTGTACTGCTACTGTATATCAACATTTTTGCTGACTGTTATACTGGTGGTTTACTTTTTCCTTCTAAGCTACACTAATACTTTTAAGTTCTTTTTGCATTCATATTGTACAGTAACATATATATACAACCGGTGGTAGCTCGTCCATAAGGACTGCAGCCCCCCTTACAAAACTGCCAGACATAAGATACATCTACTTCTATACCAGAATTAAAAAATTTCATCAAATTTTTATAAAAGATTCAGTTAGAATGTTATCTTCATAATATATTGACACTATTTTCATAAGAATAATACACCTAAACTTAGTTGACAATCATTGCAAGTAAGCAATTGTACGTTCTTTTTACGCGTTTATTGCCAGTGCTACACCGAAATTTAGGCTGCATCTTCAATCTCTGCAGTCCAGTGACCTATCTGATACGTGCGGTGGAGGGGTACAATAGCAACGCTTTGACTTCACAGTAGACTTTCTTGCGGAATACCATGGTGAATGACAGATTATCTGCTTAGCAATCATATACTATATCCATTGAAAATAAAATGATCACAAAAATAAAGGACTTTAATGAAAAATTAACTAATCACTTTGCTTCATCAAAGATCCACCGCATGGAGTGTATTTTCAAGTAATGCCCAGCTGGGCCCCAGAGTATTTGTGCCATGAACTTCAACTGACAAACTGGATCCTAAGGTAAATAATAAATTTTTTCTGTGGCAAATTTATACAGAATTGCAGTCCCCTTATGCATATTATCACGAGCTGCCACTGTATACAACAATACACTGACATACCTAAGACTTTCATCTCATACATTATACTCCTTCTCAATGAGCTAAATGCAGAGGCATTCCACGATACTGTATTCACATAAATTTAACTGGACTCTACAAATGTAAACTTAAAAGGTCTACCACAGACCCTGGCAAAAATTTCACCCCAGAAATTAGAGAAGGAGAAGCAAAATAAAAAATTGACAATGGCTGATAATACATCCCTAATCAAAGAGTCTTAGCTTTATTGTACAGTTCACAAATTCACATAAAGTTATTCAAATAACATTAAGGTAACCTTTCAGAAAGTAGCGGAAGACCTGACGCCTTATTTCACCATATATCTCTGGATGAGTTATTTTGTTGATGGTCTTTCTCTTCTCTGCATCAGTAAACACCAGGCTGCTCAACTTTGGTCTATCAAGTTCTCCTGATCAAATGGAATACAAACTGGTAATACAGTACATAGGTTTAATGTCAACATATTACAGAATACATAGTAATGCCTGAATATACTATGACATACGTATATTAGGTTTAATGTCAACATATTACAGAATACATAGTAGTGCCTGAATATATTATGACATACGTATATTAAATCCCACCTAATCCACGCTTCTCCAATCTGTAGTCCACTGAATTGTAATACCAAATGTGTATACATAATCCATGCAAAACACACTCTTTCCATTGTATGAAACTATGAAACATGCAAGAAAAAGTGCAAAATATTCTGCCCAAGAATTTTTAAACATTTTTATGAGGATATTATATAGAAAGATATTCAAGCTTCAAGTAAAAAATGTACATGTATAATACAGAAAACACATTTCATACAGTAATGATGTTACAAAGTCAATAGATAGTGAAAGCTTAGCAATATAAAGCAGTGTTTAAAACATTACCAAAGGTAAAACTTCTGATGTCACATGCATCGACACACACTGATTTAGAATAGTGAAGACATAAATAAATGTTTTATTTTACTGAAATGTAAGGAATAACATGCTCTGTTTGTCTCTAAAATTACCTTAAAAGAAATTACTGAATTGCATAGCACTCATTTCATACAGCTGCAACCACCACTTCCTTCCGGCTGAGGAGTTGGCAGTGACATTATCAGCTGTGAGACATGTCAATAAACTGTTTATACAGGCATTTTTTCTTTATCCAATTTCTACAATATGAATATACGTATATAATAACAACTAATTTTACTTGAAATTTGCATCCTTATTTTGGGACTTGCTAATCAAAATTTAGCGTTGCTGATAAACTACTGTACAGTACAGGTTGTACCTCTCTAGTCCGGCATTCTGTAGAGTAATGATGATATGTTTTCACATGTGCACACTTACATATGCGCAGTCTCACTTTTTTTCTTTACCATTAATGGTTAGCTACTTATATTGTTCCATCTATTAACATTAAATAACATTACTTCAAACAACCATATTAATTTTTTTACATTAATTTTACTACAGCTACAATCAGGGTCTTATTTTCTTCAGTTTTATATGTAGAACCAATCAGTCACTGGTTTTGTAAGCATTAACGAAAACAATGCCGGCAGCCGTCTCGTCTCCTCGTGTGTTTTAATATTTCACGTATTATTAATGAATTGTATTGTTCATTTTGCACACACAAACATTAATTCAATAAAAAAAATCAGAAACATTAATTAAAATATATATGAACGGTAAATAAGTGTTGCTTTCATATTCTTATGTAGAGTAATAACGATATGTTTTCACATGTGTGCACTTACATACGCGATCTCTCTTTTTTTCTTTACCATTATCGTTAGCTACTTCTATTGTTCCATTTATTAACATTAAATAACATTACTTAAAACAACCATATTAATTTTACTACAGCTACAACCAGGGTCTTATTTTCTTCAGTTTTATATGTAGAACCAGTCAGTCACTGGTTTTGTAAACAACGAAAACAAAGCCGTCTCGTCTCCTCGTGTGTTTTAATATTCTACGTATTATTAATGAGTTGCATTGCTCATTTTGCACACATAAACATTAATTCAATCAAAAAGACATTCAGTAATAAACAATAATGAATCCTTTGTACATAAGAGAAATGACGCTGTTTACACGATTGTGCACGTCTGAACGTTGGTGAGCCGTTCAAACCCGTCGAAATTCGAGTTTCCGCCGTCAAAATTTTTTATTTATTTTTTGTGTGTTCCAATAAAAAATGTTGAATTAAAAACTCGCGAAATTTGAGAAGCTACTGTACGACATTTAACCCTTCAATATGTCTTCAAAGAGACTATGAAGCAGAGAAAGTGGTGCTAGTGCTTCCAAGAGTAAGCACAAGTCACTATCTATCTAGGAAACGGGTGAATTTCCATGGTCCGGCACCGGTCAGGTCCCGAGGTTGCCGGACTAGAGAGGTACAACTTGTATTTGATTTACAATCCGCTGGGTCTGTAGAAGCAAAACCCCAAGGTCAATGTAAAATTTATTGTATTTAACTCAAGCCACTTGTGCTCATAAAAAAAACAAAAATGTGACTCAATACAGTAGACAGTAGCTATATGCTGTACAATAGTGGTCCCAACCTTTTGGAGGCTCTAGGCCACATTTATCAACGTAAATATAGTGAGAGAGCCAAAACTTTGGATCTACGTTCAAGAAACAAAAATCTCATATATACTGTTCAGTTATTTGCAGTTTTACACGTCTAGCTGTTACCAGTTACATATTTTTTACATTTACTCTTGGACAGGATGTATGTATTTACCCCAGTGAGAAGGCTGGCTCTCTCTCTGGGGTAAATACACACGTCCTGTACACAACAGTTGTACCAAGTTATTACATATTTGCAATAATTTCACTCTTTCAAAGAATCCCATATAATTCACAATTTTCTAATAAATCCTTGCGGGCTCCATAAAATGGTTTCGCGAGTGCCAGAACCACAGGTTAGGGACCACTGCTGTACAACAATATTAAAAAAAAAAAGGAATGAATTAAAATAGAAACTACCCATATACAGTATACTGTGCTGTTAACAAAATAAATAAAAAATAAATTAATATACTGTACTGTAAGCTGGAATCTTCCATCCCCAGAAATTTCCATTACCAGGCATTTTTCTTTACAATTCCAACAAATTCTGAGAAAAATCTCTCTGCTCCAGGCATTCGAATGAACTTCCGAGAGATTGCATCACCTGCCAGCACATGGGTAGGTAGGCTCCGAGTGCTCCTGAGTTATGATTGGCTACTACTGTCATGTGATTTGCATGGGATTCTTATGAATGGCTGATGTATCTGCACTTCTGCAGCCTATTTCCTTAAACTCTAGTATTGTGACACTTTTAGTTCAATGTCTGCTGCCATTGTACAAGCTTGTTCACTCACTCACTGCTGTTTTTGCATACCGGTTGTATCATGCAGTACTGTATCAGGATACAATCAGCCAAGAATACCGTTAAAGCAATGTTAAGACGTAAAAGTGAATAGTGACATTAAGTGTGAAAGTACCATACGTACAGTACAGGAGGCCTGCCAAGTTTGCGGATTTTTACTTCGCGGTTCTCGGTTATTCATGGATGACACCCTGGATGTACCCAAGAATGTCTGTGGGTAGTTTTAAAGTTGCCATCATTTTTGCGACTGGAACAGGGAGCCATTCATTCTAGAAACAGTAATTTCCTTTGCCTGCAATGTAAATATGTGTGTGTAGACACACACAGACAAAACACTACAAATAAATATTAATTGGAAAATCCTCTCACAAATAATCAGAAACAAATTTATTAAAAATGTGAGTCTACCCTCAAGTCCATTCTCTAGTACAGTACTGTACTTTATTAATAGAGCACAGACTGGAGGGTAGACTTTCAAATTTTTTAATAAATTTGTTTCTGATTATTTACGAGAGGATTTGCCAATTATTATTTATTTGCATGTGTTGTGTGTGTCTACAAACACACACACACACACACACACACACATATACAATATTACAGGTAAAAGAAATAGTTGTCCTAAGGGCAAACACATAAAGGGAATACACATTTCTTTGTACACAAGTAAAAATGCCCCCCCCAAGCCAAAAATTTTATTTGCGGATTTGGCGATTCGCGGCCATTTTGAGAACATAACCTCCGCGAATTTGGGGGGCCCCCTGTACTATAATGTATGCCGACTGTAGGCTATTGTGTATAGGGTGCATGTACAGTACAGTGGTCCCTCGGTTAACGAGCACAATCCGTTCTAGAAGGTTGCTTGTTAACCGAAAAACTTGTTAACCGAAACCATTGTTTCAATGGGTTTTTGGGTAATTGGTTCCAGCTCACCGAAAATTGCCTAAATTCAACAAAAAATGTAGAAAAGTACACTTACTTTGAGGTGTGTATGTAGAAGGCTCCTGGATGATGATGAAGATGATGGGAATTAGAATGGGGGTGGAGGAGAAGGGAGAAGAGAAGGCATTGGGGTGGAAGAGAAGTCACCCCATGGTGCCATTTCACCCATAAAATTTTAGTTCTCTTGGTGTAATTCAAGATTATTTTCTTTAAATCAACACTGCACTGCATTATATATTGTCAATATGTAAAATAAATTTCAAAATGACCAATAATTTGCTTGCAAACACAGAAAAAAAGCGTTTAGTTGAAGAGAGTCTCAAGCAAGATGTTACCTCCACTGAAAAGACACAAAGACTGACGCCTGTATGGTGTGTTGAGAGGCTGGATGGCGCGCATAAAACTAGTTTCATTATCTTCAATTATGTTCAATAATTGTTAAAATGACTAAAAAATTTAATATTAAACTTTTAAAATTATTGAATAGTATAAACTTCTTGATATTTGCTAAAATGGTAAGGAATTTAAGCCCTACAACCGATTACTGTATTGGAGGACTAATACTACAGCTGGTGGACTGCCAAATGCAAGTGAAAACTTGTTGAGGTCGGCTCGTAAGAAACTCGTTAACTGAAGTTAAGAATCTTATGGGAGGTAACTCGTTAACCGAAATCTCGTTAACCGAGGCGCTCGTTAACCGAGGGATCACTGTATACAGTGTGTGTACTAGTGAAGTCACGAAACTTCGCAACTGTAACCACAACTGCAGAGCAACCGCATAAATTATCACAACCACCACAACTGAAACAAACGCACGAACCCACGCGGTTGTTTTGGTTGGGAAACAATCACAAACGAGGGTTGAGCTGAGAAATTCATTAGGCAGTGGGGCCCTCCAAGTACTGTGTTGCCTTTATGTACAATATGCTAAAATAATAGATACAGTGAACAATGTTTTTAGATCTTTACAGTAACTTGTTTAATTACAGGTGACCATTTGTAACCTTTTTCACACATGGAAAGTAAACAATGGTAGCATTGGACAATCTGATGAGCATAAACCTCTTGTTTTTCCCCATTAAAAAGCCATAATTTGGGGCAAAACATGACTGTACTTTAATGTACAGCTTGTACTCAAATGTGCTAAATTAATAACTAACATTTTTATATCTAGTGTAAACTATGGAATGTTTATACTCAAATTAATTGCTATCTTGCAAGAATTCCAGCAATGCAAGTTATATTCTGCTAAGTCAGTGACATTTTATAAGAGAAAAACTTAATAGTCCCTGACCTGCACCATGCCTCCCCCTCCACTGACAACTAATCTCCCCTCACTGGCTGTGAACACCCCACCACCTCCTCCCCCCTCCTCCCAGCCAGCAGGGAGGCAAGATGGCAATGATCATAATTTTACAGGATGAATTTTACAGGATGAATTTGATTTAGGATTGAAGTTTTTCTCTTCTAAAATGTGACAGACTTGACTTGGCAGAATATAACTTGCATTGCTGGAACCCTTGCAAGATAATGATTAATATGAGTATAAATATTTCATAGATTGCACTGAGATAAAATTTTTAGTCCTTTAGCTTAGTATATTTGAATACATGTTGTACAGTACACTAAAGTAGAGTAATATGTTGCCCAAAATTATGGCTTTTTCACAGGGAAAAATCCTCAGGAGATAAGTTGAAAAGTTCACAAAGGTTACAGCATTAATCAAAGTTTAAAGTTAAACCAAACAACTACAACCGCACAGTTGTGACTTCCTGACAACCGCAACTGAGGAGCTTTGAAATCTGACAACCGTGACATCACTAGTGTGTACATTCCCTCCTTCATTTAGGGAAAGGAAAGTGACAGCACCAGCTGCCAAAGTAGATGGTACAGGAAAAAGCAGACCATCCTGTATCATCATATCACCATTTGGCCTGCCTGCATCACAAGCTCAAGACAACAGCATCTGCTGGCGAGTACAACATACAGTAGTGTAAACAGTAGTATATTTTTTTTATTTAAAATATAGAGCATTGTACATGTACAGTAGTGTTTGCATAAATAAATATAGCTCTGTGTCTATCCGACTACAGTTATGCCTCTATAACAGCAGTGCTCCATGCAAGATGCATAGTTTAGACGTAGAAACATTTATCACTGCCTAGAAAAATTCCAGGAATGTGTGACTTTTTCTAGGGATAAGATAATTTGTCTCTGCCCAGAAATCTCTCAAATCTGGAACCGCTCTGCACCAATTATTCCGAATAACAGGGAGCTTACTGTATGTGTAACAAATGCAAAAAAAATATATACACCACCTTATGAAGGATTGGAGTTAAAGGTATCCAGGACTGAATATGGATAAGCAATTACAACTTTCAAATTAATACTTAATAACAAACGGTACTTGTACAGCGCAAGTTAATCTACTGATCTTGTGAGATTCTTTCAAATACACATATGATACTGTATGAGATGTCAATACTGTATTATAATTATATTCAGCTAGTCATAGTCGTACTTACCAGACTCTAAGAACATTTCATCTCCAAATGTTTCTCTGATCTTCTTCCATGCCTTCTTGCCGGGCTCCACAACTGTCAACAGAAGATATCCTGTGAGTAAGCTAATGAAAATAAACTTATAATAATTACAGTTTGAAAGAAATACATGTGAAAGTGGTAACTGACCCTTTCATCGAACGGAACGTCAAGATGGTCCGAGAAATCAACCAGGTATTGTTTCCCTACCAGGAAATGTTTAAAGACCTCAAAGCCAAGAGGAAACAAATACCAATCAAGGTGTTTTTCAAGAAAGAACCAGCCGCTCACTCAGCTGATTCATCTCCTTCCCTCACTCAGTCAGCTGCTACTGCCACCGCTCCACCCTCCTCCTCCCAGCCACCCCCCACCTCACCACTCGCCTCCCGGCCACGCTCCACCTCCCGGCTGTGCGTCTCTTCACCACCCGCCTCTCCACCAACCACCACTTCATCAAGCTCCAAACTTCCACAAACAAATGTAACTAGCATTGGTGATTTAAGTTTCTTATACACAGCATAGGTAAACATTAGTGCACGAAGGTAGTATAAGTTGCTATTCGCTGTTTTGCCAATTTGCGCCATTCCTTGGAACCTAACCCTTGTGAACAGCAAGGGTTTACTGTAACTAATTTCTGCTTAATATGTCAGGGGTCTGGGGTTTCCAGTTAGAAAAGTTAAGTTAGGTTAGGTCCATTGTTGTTTGTGTTTTCGTGTTTAGTTTCATGTAAATAGCATAGCATCTCCAGAAACTTGGTGCAATTGTTCCTTTTACTGCTGTCTCTTCCATCATTACCAAATTTTTCAAAATAATTTCTTCCTAAAGTGTCTCCTTCTAACAGGTAGATATTGCAAACTATTACCATTCTGAAAATCAAAAGGTGTCAATTATATTGATAATTATGAAAGTGTGAAAGCAAAAGGAATTCACAGATTACTGTATCTTATATAACTTGAGGCAAATTATGTGGAATGAGGAACAACAATTGGTAAATTTTCACTTGTTGCCACTATACGAAATCATATAAGAAATAAAAGTAGAAACTATGATTTTCTGATGTTTTTTGATGTGTTATGAACGAATTTGACCTTAATTTCTGGTGCAAATCAATAGCTTCTGAGATAAGCCCCCTTTCATCTCAGTATCTAGAGATTTGCTATAAAAATCAAGGTTAAAAGTGTTCCAAATACATCAAAAACCACCGGAAAAACAGTTTTGAATCCAATCTAGCCAACCTAACCTAACCAGGGGAGCTCCACAGCCGTTCGATGTTCTGGGTGTGTACCGCCACATCATTTAATATGCTGGGTGTGTATCTTCAGTTCGAACATACATAATAAAATGTTAAAAAGGTAAATTTTTACTTTTGGACATGAGTTCCTAGGGATTGACCAATATGTTTTTCCAGTGTATTTTGGTGTGTTTTAAGCGAATCCGACCATCATTTTTAGCCCCCCCCCCCCCCCAACAATAATGGGGGAGAGCCTGGGAAATCGGGATTTTTGGGTGGGTGAGAACACAAAAACGAGTCATCTAACCTAACCTAACAACTTAACGTAACATAACCTTACCTAACCCCTAGCTGGGGACTCCGCCTCCGGACCCCTGGTAGACCTAGCTTATACTAACCTAACACTCAACAGACGTAGGGAGAACACCGTGATTACGTAGGAATTGGATCGCATGATCGTCTTTCTCGTAAAACTCGGCAATAAACTAAAAATAATTGTAGGAGTATGAATCACACCCAACCTCCACCACGGCCATTGTCAGACTGGTGATTGAAATTCAAATCTGTACCCAGAATGCTTCCTTTGAAAAAATTCAAAAGTGATTGGTTAAAAAAAATCGCGTGATGAGATTGATACATCATTGGTCATGACTGGAAGACGTCAGTCAACATTGCGCATGTGTGATGTAAACACACTCATAATTAACTCGGTTTCACACAGATAACATCTCTTCACAGACGAAGACTGAAAAGTATATAAAATCAATTAAATTCGATTGTGTTGATATTTTCCATTTCCAAATGGTAAATTTGGGGTATAAAATTCTCAGAATAGGGAGACCTAAATGTTTCAGTAGTTTATAACTTAAGGGCACGCTATATCCGAAAGTATAATAAAATCGTTAAATATCCCACTTAAACGTACTTTACGCTAGAAATACCATTGAAGCAGTGTCTTACATTTGTCAAAATTACCGATTTTAACTATAAAATTCACGAGATTTGTTTAGTGGCAACAAGTGAAGGGGAAATTTTCAGATATTTTTATATTTGTGCACCGTTCTATTTAACCTAGCCTAACCTAAGCAGGGGGCTCCGCTGATTAGGTTAGGTTTGGTTGGCTTTTGGTGATTTTTTTTTTACACATATTACTAATATCCAAAGAAAGAACGGTGCACTACTATAAATTTACCAATTTGAACACATAATAATATGTTAAATATCTCACTTAAACGTATTTTGTGCCAGAAATACCAGTGAAGAATTCTTAGAAATATAAAAAACGAATGATAGCAACTATAAAATTCCAGAGATTCATTTAGCGGCAACAATTGAAATAATAACCAACATTTTAACCTCAGACAAAACATGTACAATAATAACTAACTTTGTCTTGCAATGAGATCAGCATCAATGACCGGGACTCCCATCTCCTGGATCATGGCACTGACAGTACTCTTGCCCGTCCCTATACCACCAGTCAACCCTACCAGAAACATGTCTATTTTACTAAAGCAGCTGAAGCCTTACTAATATATTGACCCACTAAATGTAACTTAACTTCAGCTGGTTTTCTATATATATATCTATTAACTATTAAAGGTCTCTACTGATGGTGCCGTGCCTCCTACCACTGAAGACTTTAGTAATTCTTGTTAAAACATAAAGTAATAAAATCTAGTCCATGTATTTGTTAATAAAATAATGAAATGTTAATCTAAATTATTTCAAGTAAGAGCTAATATCTTGTACGTTAAATGTAATGTAAAAAAGAATGATTAGAAAATTCATGACTTAAAAACGTGTGAATGAATTTTTTTTATCGTTCTAATATTTTGGTTTTATTTTTTTTTAATAAAGCTCTTTTGGACCTCTCTAATTTTGTCATACATTGATAAAATTTCAATTGGTCCTCTGTTGTATGATAAAACTAGATAAGAAACTCAAGGCCCTGTGGTATAACATTGTCTCCATTATCATCAACACCTCTAAGCTAAGAGTTTGGGTGTTAAATACATTTTATGAATATATCTATTTCGTTTTATATATACACATATGTACTACAGTAATAAAATGATTTCAGTTTCGATGATAAAACTCGTGTAAACTGACCGTAAATACCTAAAAGAAGTCATTGAAGAGAAAGAAGAACGTCTCCCTTATCTCTCCCTTATGTGTAATGTTTGTCAACTCAACAGTAGGTATTACCCGGTACCACTCTTTATATACCTAATATTTGTCAAGAATATCGGACGCATTTATGTATAGCTGTAAGGATGCTCCCAGCTGTCATTCACTTTAGGCCCAAATATTTGTGGTAAATATGTGACAGGGAAGATAACACCCTAATCAGTGACCTATGATGACACAACAGTAGTCATGTATGAGATGTTTGGGGTCACACTCAGGATGGGATGGAGAAAGGAAACTCACAATGTGCTCACTGTATACATATTGTATTGGATGTACAATGCAGCTTGTGTTGCTGGGTAGGTAGCATGGTAATAAGCGTTGAGTAGAGAGAGCCGGGTGGTGAGGGTGCCCAGAGTGAGGGCACGCGGCTTGAGGGACGCCGAGGTCGCTGGCGGGAGCGGCAGGCGCGGAGGAAGAGGTGTTGTTTGCTGGTGGCACTGGGTAGAAAAGAGGGTGGTCACAGCGGTGTCAGGCCTTATAAGGCGGGGGTAGGCGTGGGTAGATAGTTGACCCCCGCTCCGTGGGCGGCGCTGGAGGCGTAGGCTGGGGAATTCGAGAAGGTTCGGTGCTTGTAGGGGAGGAATCCACTACAACGTAACGTCTAAGCTCATGAAGCCCCAATCTCCCCATACCAGCCACAGAAAATAACTGCGTCATGTTTCAAAGTAAGAAGTCAATATATGAAATACTAATAACATACAAAAAAAGATTGGGTGTTTTAAATTGCTGTGCAAAGCTACTGCTACTAGTTTCTGTAAATTTACCATGGAATTAATAAATTCATGTACAATTTCAAGAAAGAGGCAAAAAGTATTAGAGAAAAATAATGTCTTATACAGTATAGAACTGTTGTCAAGTTTCAATATAATAGTGCCACGTCCCACATGGACTTTACTTTTTTCCCTCTTTGCCACTGATCAACAGTGCTGAGTAGCTGATTACTTATTTATGGAAAACAGACCAAAACTGACCCACTATGGTATTTCAAGCGGTTGCACTCCAATTCGGTCCATCGTCAACTTGGCTCATCGCCAACTCGGACCATCACATACCAACTCTGCCCATCTCAGATAACCAACTCGGACCAGGGCTGCCGCTCATCCGACTGTCTTAGATATTTTGAGCACTATGAACACGTCCAATAAAAAGCAAAGGGAAAACACAATGTTTGAATTAATGTTGTTTAATGACACAAAAAATATAAATACACATATACGTACCTGTTACATCTAAAAATCAATACCTTATTTTTCAATTAGGGTACATCAATCAGTTGTACATCCGTGATATTGATATTCATACAACCTTCTTTACACTTAGCATATTCTTCCGTAGTGATTGCTGGATAGTGACACATCACACTCATAAAATACATCTTATTTGCAGACGATAGTAATCTCTATGCCAGCAACTCAGACCTCCATTCCTTGATGAAAACTATGAACACTGAATTGACTAAAGTCAGGACCTGGGTGATACGTAATAAACTGACCTAGTCCTATTTACCATAGTCTACTAATGTAGCTTAATTGATACCCTATTAATTTATCATTATATGTCATTTCATCCTTAGTTTATAGAATTTCTAACCGGTGGGTAGGGCACAGTACTGCATATGTGTTTCATTTATCTACAGTTATATTTGATGGTAACAAGCCCTCACATGAGCTGGCTTTTTCACAAATATTCTTTCATACTACTGTATTGTCCAACAGACTACAGTAATAACCCATTCTTTATAATGAATCTATACAATATACTGTATGTCCTATTTGATAGGCTTATTTATTTATGAATATACAAAGCAGTAGCTATATAGAGAGAGCATTTTGTATAATTATGTGTTAAATTGATGTTTGTGATAAATTTTTCAGACTGTATGATGATATTGTCTGCTGACTTTATCATTAACGATGTAACTTTTTCCAGGACTTATTAAAAAAGAAACATTAATTTTTCTTAAGCTAATTGACATGTTAACCTTTTCAGGTGATATAAGATGCATCTCTAGATTTATCCATTAATTTTACTATAATTGACATGTTAACATTTTCAGGAGAAAGTGTATATCACTGGGCCAACAGCAATGAACTGTGATGACATGACAAGTTTCTGCTCCCTGGTGATAAATATAACATCAGCGACAAGCACATTCATTGGTCAGTTGGACTTGTACATGATGACATTCATTCTTAATGCATATGCTTTTGTCTTATCTGTTTTTAAGCAGTACAATACCACATACCAGAGAGGGGTGGGTTATCCACATGTCACTTTTTAAACATCTCTGCACATTCCTTCATGATAACACCTTTTTTAGTTTCATTCTCCTGGGCTCACCCACTTCATCTCATTCTAGGAAATTTAATTTTTCTTCATATGTCATTTTCTAAGTTATTCTTTCATTTCATTCTGTCAACTGTCCTGATTCAGACAGAACTCCCAACTGATTAATTAGCTACACTGTACAACTTGAGTGTCCAAATCAGATATATAAAGAAAATAATGAAATGCTTAGTATGGATTTCAAGCAGATCTAAGTTAGTTTGATGTCTTTTTATGGTTTGGTCCTTCACCCCCCTTAAAGAGGCAACCCCTATGTTATATATACTGTACTGTACGTATATGCAGTTTTGATGAATTTTGACACCAATGCTCCCCTCAGTAAGATATTCATTCTTAGCCAGGCAGCTCAAATAATACTGTAGTAGGTGACTTACCAAGGGGTCCTTGAACTCGGCAAACAGGCCCTTCTAATATTAGCCTGGATAATCTGTTAATTCTTTGGATAAATTGGTTTTCCTTGAAGCTGACAGCATAAGGACAAGGAAAGGGTACAGTACAGTATTCAGTTTATTAAAGGGATTAATAGATTAACTCAGGCTGGTTTTTAGGAGGTCATACCTGATGAGCTCAATGATTTTCTGATAATTTTCTAGTACAGTACAGTAGGCAGTAAGATCTTGTATTTCGCGAGTAATATAGACTGGAAAAATTGCGCCAAATTCAAATACGCCAAATGCAAATACATGAACTAATGGGGAAAATAACAATATAGACTGGCCACTCTACATCAACCTCTGATTTTCCCATTTACTACCTCCAAATGATACAAATTCTGCCTTTACTGGCCTGATTGTGCTTTCCAGACACTAGTTTTAAGTCCTTCCTCAAGTAACTTAATCACACGCTGCTTATCCTGCATCGAGTACTTGGCAAACTTAACTCCCTTATAATAGTCCCGCTTCTCCTTTTCCTTATTTGGCCGCTTAGGTGGGTCTGTCCCACCCCCACCAGCACCAGTGGGACTCCCAGTAGAGGTAGAGGCCAATATCTTGACTCGACAGGTGGTAGCACCACCCAAAAAAGCACATAATATAGCCCGGGCGGTAGCTAGGATGGCGTCGGATACAACGGGATAGTTGCCTTCTTGTAAACCTCTTTTACGTTCACCACCGGCAATTTGATCACCAGAACGCTTCTTGGAAATATTTTTCTTACCCTGTCTTTTCATATTCATCATTAACACAACAAAATTGGAGAAAACAGCAATAAATCACGGAGCAATCAACAGAAACCGTGCGATTCAACTGATGTAAACAGAGAGCGCTGGTGTAAACCGTTATTAGTCTGCACTGCGAAACATTCTTTTTACTTATTCTCTTTATACAGTATTTATGGGTAACAGCTAAGTTTGCAAAAAAAGAACGAAATTTACAGAATACCACTCAAAAAACACTTCACAAACAAAAGACACGAATCAATTGTACATGTGATGTCGAACGTGAACTGTAAACATTGCATAACCCCGTGCCACGCTTAAAACATTGAGGATGGAATCACGCTCTAGCAAACATTCGTATGCAAAAGTTAGCATTTTACAAAAAGCGTTCCCCTATTCATCAATCGCGTTACAACCAATTTGCATTGGCAAAACACGCTTTGTAGCAGAAATGACTGTAACTGGTATGAGGACTGTGACGTCATTCGAGACGGTGGCCAGTATTCAGCTTGCTAGATCTTGCATTCGGCTTGCTAGATCTCGCGAAACTCACAATATTTTACGCCAAATATAAGACTTGCTTACATTAGGTAGTGCTCGCGAAATTCAAAAGTGCGAAATGAAATTGTGCGAAATATGAGATCTTACTGTACTACAAGGGCTGCCTGGTGTTGGGTTCTACTGCAACAAATGGGCTTCATGATCAATTCATCATTTAAGCCCTATGGAGGCCTTGCCAGTCACCTGTGAGAAACACCACTGCTAAGCACCTAGACAGAACCTACTATTGCCTCTGGATTGTGCAGAGTCTAGTGGCTGGAACTCACTGAACATATAGACACTTCTTTATTGAAGGCTAGATGCATGGAAGCCTTGCTGCAAACCATTGTCTATATGGATAGTACAGTAGGGCCTACCTGTGGTCACTTGGTGGTGTATCTCATGCATCACTTGTTTTATTCCCTGGCCGTAAAATGGGATTTGATGCCCCCTATCCCCCTTTTATAATTTTCTAGTGCGTCAAACAGTGAACATGCCATAGTCATATTGAGACATAAAACAGTGTGGTGTCTGTACATTACCTAGGTATTATTTCTTCCCTCTCTCTTACTGTACCCCAAATCCCATAATTTTCTCCCTCACCTTTACATCCTCATTTAAAAAATAAATTGCTCCTCTTTTTAGAGGTTATCCTATGATGCTGCACAAAATTTTGTATAGTGTATAGTACAAATATTTTAGCTACTCCATATTTTGCCCTGCACCTACCTATGTTAGCTGAATTATATTTGCAGTGGTTTCTCACCTTGAACTCGCTTTAAATGGATACTGTATATACGGTATATTAAGATGGTTAATGGGTAGTGAAAACTTTTGCTGTGGTATTTGTAGATGCTTGATACTTTTGTTTTCTATTCAAGAGCTCAGAAGTCCTTCATGTTTTTTCTTGTGTGTTAGAGAGAAAAAGTAATTTATAGTGAGTAATGGCTGTATGCATGATTTCAGGTTAAGTAAAATCCAATGATGTAATTTATATGATATTAGTAGTACAGTATTGTATGTATTAGAACATGAGTTTAAGGTTTGTAATGCTAGAACATTTTTCTAATACAGGTATGTGAAATTGATCGATGTTGTTGGTTTTTATTTCTTTTCGTAACTTCTTATTAGCCCAGATCTCACTTAAGGAGTTGGGATATGCCATATTACATGAACATAATATCTTCAAAGAACAGAAAGGAAAACATAGAACTACCACTATAATATAATAAATGTATTTTTTTTCTTATACAGTGCTGGTGAAAAGTTTTTTCAGGATTATAATTTGGTGCAATAATGTGTTAACACATACAGTTATGAAGCATTATTTTTACAGGCCACCAGCTGGACCTGCTGTACCTAGGATGGGTCTGGTCTCTCTTCTACCCAGCCATCTTAGTCATGCTTATCTTGCCTGCCATGATATTAATTTTACTTTACTTCTCTGCATTTTTGCTCTACATATATCAGAGAAGGTAGGTGTTAACTTATTGAAATACAGTATAAACAATAGTTATTGTTATTTATTCATGTCATGAAAGCAATTTGTACCTTTAAGGTTGCAGAGCATTTTATGCTTTGTTTAAACTAGCACTTGCCATTTGTGAGTCTAACTTTCCAGTGGTGGAAAGAATTTTATATGTTTGCCACAATGTTAAAAAAAAACCACACCAATGGGCCAAATGATTTTGAATTTGTTGACTGATGCTCAGAGATTGATGAGTATTTTGTTAAAGTAACACAGATTTACAGGAGCAGAATATGCCAGCCAGGGCTTATCCTCATGACCTAGAGTCTCACCAAACTTCAGTCCTCTGTTTCACCTAATTTAATGTACAGTAGAGTGGTTTAAATGAGGGCTGAAGAACCTTATCCTTAGATGCAGATCATTTCCCCCAAAATGGACCAACTTTTCCAATGAAAAATTTTATAATCACATTTGAATGCTGGAACAGCTGTGACGTTGACCAGCTTTGTGCAAGATTATGGATGACTGGCCAGGGTTTTTTATTTGGTCTAATACAGATAAAAAGTGCTCAAATCTAAGCTTGCATTTGGTACAGTACTTCAACATACAGGTACAACTAAGATGAAAAGTAAGAGAAGAAGAAATAGGTAGCCACAAAGTAATCTGTCACCAAGGTGGGACTCATAAACTGAAGAAAAATTAAAAAATTATACCCAGTATATACCCGGTAAGTAACAGGGTACTGACTGGTATTATTTCCAATGTTTATGTTAATAGGCAAGACTTGTACAGTATTATATTTTGACTGCAATAATGTAAGGTGGACCTCTGATAGGCAGGGAAAGGCTAGTGTAATAATGTAGAAAAGATGGCTAAACAACACCAAATGAAAAGATGTTTGGAGGAGGAGAAGGAAGAAGTAGAAGAGAATAATTTTTTAGTACTGTACCTCAGCAGTAGCACTGTAGTAGACTAAATTTTAGTTGAATGAATTTATGGAGTAAAGGAGGAGCATGAAGGTCAGTGTGCTAAAGGCTTATTTGGTATATATACTAGCTATAGCACTGTGTGTGTAATAATAGTAACATTCACATTAAATTATTCTTCATTGATGCTTACTGCTTTGAAGATATATAAATAAAATAATGCCATAAGAGATATATTTTCACCTAATACCCCTGTACTTATTTTACAGAAAAAATGTGTATAATGTCCTGCATGAGACATTGGAGCAGCGTGACCCATGGGTTGGGGGTCGCTACCTTATTTCTCTGGTGTGGGATGCTCATGGCTACATATGGCATGGTAAATAGTATTTCATATGTAATTTCTTAAGAAAAATAAACAGAAGTAGTACCTATATTTTTGTTTTTAGAGAACAGATTTGTGGGCTGCCCAGTGATAGTTGAGGGCTGTTTAGCAAAATATTTAAATGTGTGTCTGACTCATTAACATGATACCATAGCTATTGCAGGGCCAGTTTTGATCAAACATTTACAAGTGTTACAACACTTTTCGTGTTAAAATATACAAATTTGGTTCAAATGATTGCATGCAAGCTTTGGGACATATGGAGAATGTGTATACATGGTTCATTAGGCTGTTTGTTTATACAGTATAGCTAATAGGTACAGTTGATACATGGGTAAGGAAAATGGGTGGAGCTATGAGCCTTTGGCTAATGAAGACATGCCTTGATGCAAATAGCAAGAAGTTTAACTGACTAATGGGTGACTTACTAAGTGCACAAGTAAGATTTGGCTATTGCCTGTATCATTACAACTCTCACTGCCTTCTGTACATCAAACCATATCCCTTATTTTATGGCTACCCATGTGACAACTCCAAAGGTTTTCTTTGATGAACCGGCTGTATCTCAAAATTCCCACCAATACCTAGACTTCTGGCAAGTCATCTGCTTTATTAGGTAACCTACCCTATACATATGTATCCCTAAAATTATCCGTATGATAATATAGTGCCATATAATAAAATATTCTCACAGAACAATTATCCACTCATAAAAAAAAATAGCCCCCCCCCCCCCGACACAAATAGTCATATAATAAAGTACAGTACAGTATTCTCATGAACAACTTTTTCATCTACAGTTAACTGTTAAACTGGAAATTTGGGTAAACTGGACCCTATCATGCCACAGAAGAGAAATTCTTCAAGAACCTTCACATAAGAATCTAATTTGATAAATAATTTATATGTAACCTTTGAGTGTGCTATTAAATTTAGTGCCCATTATGACTTAGGGGCCCATTAGGAGCCATAATGACTTGAGACCCTGTGGGAGCTATTATGACTTTGAGCCCATTGGATACATCTTTGACTTGAAACCTATTTAGTCTAATTCTTAATAACATCCAGATTTAATGGAAAGTCGAGATTAAGCCTAAATTTAGGAGCCATTAAATTTGAGGCCATAAAGACACATATTTTGTGCCATTGGTTTGTAAACATGAAATCTATATAGGTAATTATTTTTTCAATCTACTGTATTGATTCAAAAAAATTCTTACAAATGATATATGTGATAATTATTTTTCCTAGTGGTGTTGTAAGCCATTACCATTAACTCTTTCCAACAGGGTATGAGGTGAAAGGTTTGGAGAACCTCCCTGATAGTGGTCCCTGCCTCATAATATATTATCATGGTGCCATTCCTCTGGATATCTATTATCTTGTAGCACGAACCATCATAGTTAAAGGGCGGCTCGTGCACTGCGTGGGTGACAGGTTCTTAGAGAAAGTGCCAGGTTAGTTGGCTCAATGTACATGATCTGGGTGATGAACATTTGCATAATAAAACTACTGTATATCCATATGGAGGCTGAGGATTCACATTTAAGAGATATTACTTTCTTTAGTTGCCCAGCCGAGTAACACCTTGACTAAATTTATAAATGGAGAAAGCCATTTTGTGAATACTCCCAAAAAAGACAGGCTGCATGCTGAGGAATTATTACTTAAGCTTTATATTCTCTTCATATTGCCTCATAAAATTTGGAGATATAAAAAAAAGTGTATTGTACAGTACTCAATCATATAGTAAAAGTATTTCTGTCATTTTCAGGTTGGAAAGTTATTCTTGAAGCTTTTGACATCACTGCAGGGACCATTAGCTCATGTATCCAGACACTCTCAGAAGGTCATATTCTCTCCATTTCTCCTGGAGGTGTACGGGAAGCCCAGTTCTCAGATCACAATTACCAGCTTATGTGGGGCAAGCGAGCAGGTTTTGCCAAAGTAGCCATTGGGGCAAATGCTGTAAGTTATGGAAGTTCTAGTGTAGAATAAATATAGGATAGTCAAAAGGATATTTTCTTCCACTGATGACTGTTTCAGGATACCAAGTGTCATCTACTGTACAGTATTCCCTTTCTTCTATTTTTCCTCACTTCCCTTATCAGCCTTATTACATTTCCCACTAAATTAGCTGCAATAGCTCCACCCATTCTTTCAAGAAATTTAAAACCCCAGTTATTTATGACCTTTAGATCCTTAGGAGTGACCAGTGAGAGATGTATCACAACCACTGCCAAGTATCATATGGCCAGAACCTGTCAATGCCCTGAGGACTTGGACTATTTGACAGTAGGATATCCAATATGTGTAGACTTGTTAATACAGTACAATGTATTCATCTTAAGTGGTTAATTCATTTTTGGTCCACTATTTGTCTTAGAAACCTGAATTTTAATTCTCAGTTCACTGCTTTCAGCCAGACTGTCAAGACCGTCAATGGTAACCTCGTGAACAAATATTAGAAGGGTAATTTTTTTTGTTTTAATATTCTTTGACCCTTTCTAATTATTATTACACAGCCCTAGCTTTTGTCAAATAGTTTTGGGTTGCAGGTGGAGTTTGGTGATGTAATGGTGAGTATGTCTTTGTTTGGCTGCTAGACTTACAGGTTTTCCACTGTCTCACCTTTACTATGGGTTGTTGTTGATGAATACAGATGTTTTATTACGGAAATCAGATGATGAAGGACATGAGATTTATTTTATGAAGGTGCAATATAGTAAGCATGATGATAATATTTATATTTAATGAAAGTGCAACTGAAGTTTTGGAATTTAAAAGTAAAGGGTAATCTTGGTACAAAATTTCCATGCCTAAGGAAGAGCTAAATATTATATTTAGGGTCTATAGACCATATAAAAAAGACTGAAAACATCAGAACATCGACTAATAATAAAGCATTGGATGCATCCTCAGATCCTTGGCGTATTGGAAAAAATTGAACACTTAAATGATATTGAATACAGCAAAAATCACTTATTTCAACTCTTGTATGAATGTGGTAAACAAAAAGAATATAAAATTTAGTTCAAATGTTTTTTCCAGCCCGTTGTTCCCATGTTCACCGAAAACCTAAGAGAAGCCTTCCGCACTGTGTCCTGGCCACATAAACTGTGGATAACACTTTACGAGACTTTCAGATTTCCCTGTGCTCCCATCTATGGTGGATTCCCAGTCAAGGTATTGTTAACGGCTGTTGCTACTCCTTTTTTGCATACCCAAAATTTGCTCCATTTCTAGCTGCCTCATGGTATATTTTTATATTATTATACTGTATATATATGCATTAGAAACATATTTTTAAAGGCCTGTTGGTCAGCTGAATTCCCTCTTTTTATCCTAATAATCATTGCTAAATGTATTTCTTGGTTTGTTACAGACTCTGGCAATGAGTAATTTTATGATGTAGTTCCATGCTTTATTTTGTTGATATCCTTAGTGAATTTCTGACATCTCGGCAGTTTGTAAGACTGACTTAGCCACTGTGTTCAGTGCATGTTAGTAGGATAGACCTTCAGTAAGTTTGCACAGTAAAAGACAATATTTCCCCTAACCTTAGTTATGCAACACTTCCTAAAAAGTTCCCACATCATTACAAATTTATGAAAATTTAGATTGCTTGGAATTGAAGTCCAGCATTAATTGTTATTCTTTAGGAAAATTGTGTGTACTGTCATTGTTTCACATTATGTATAACAAACATTGAAAACTCTTATGTGGGGACAATAGTGACCCGTTGGATAAGCTTGAGAACCCAACTAGCCAAGATAGTTTCTCACTAGATTGAGCCACATTTTGAACTCTTGAATCGGTTTACACTTGAACCTCTCTAATTTGACATCGTCGGGGCTCTACCATTATTGAATTACTCAAAGAGCCCAAATTATCCAAAATATTTGAATTTGGTTGATGATTTCAGACATTTTGTTGAGATAAAGGAATTTTTCAGCAATTTAATCAGGTACCGGTAATTAATAACATAAAAAACCAAACCTACTCCACCTATTTCACTTTTTAACTATGATACTATATTTTTATAGTTCGTGACAATTATATTCAAATATACTATACAATTACCATTCATATTTAATTAAAAAAAATTGTTTTAATTTCCTTTGGCATCAATACAGGGATTATTAGTTTATATGTTGTATGGTAACATAAGCTCACTGTGGCTGTACAGTACATTTTTAAAACAAACAAGACACCCCAGTTACTATTATGTAATATACTGTACTGTATAGATTTATACTGTATTTAAATATCTTAACATCTGGTGGACTTGTATTAAAAAATAGTAGCTAGTTGAGGAAATATATTAATATTTTTTTAATAAAATGTGCTTGGACAGAATACTGTACAGTATTGGGATGTGTAACTTGTGTAAACCCAGTGCCGGTTGTGCTTGCAGCCAGAGGCAGTGTTCTGCCATGCAGGGCAACAAATTTCAACATATCAGAAGTGTGGATAAATTTTACAACTGCAGTGTAATTCAGTCATTTGGGTCTCAGTGTCTTTTTTTTTTTTTAATTCAACATTGTCCAAAATGTATGAATTAATGTAAACTTTGACTAAATAAAGGGTGAATTAGAGGGGGTTGGAGTCTATTAAATTTGATTATTTCTACCATGCACACTGGGGGATTTAATACTCTTCAATTAACTTGCATTGTTGTACTGTATTCAGATGCTTTGCACTGTAGACATTTCTCTTTTGATGTGACACAATGAGAGTGAAGGTACTGGTAATAAAATATATATATATATATATATATTTTTTTTTTTTACGGGGATTAACCCACCCGGGCACAGGTCACTGACCCACATCGGGGCCTGGGGGGCAAAAATAATAATAATAATAATAATAGTATTAATAATAATAATTCATAGTAAATAAAATTTATAATACAAAATAAAATAATAAAGATAATAATAATAATAACAACTCTAGTAATAATAATAATAATAATAAAGAACTATAAATGCAAAAATTAAAAAAAAAGATCAAAAGTGAGAAACAATATGTATGTTGTGTTGCCAATAGTAGGAGAAACAATTGAGACCCTGCAATTGTGTGTAAATGAGGCAGAAAGTCAGATTAGCAACCTGGGACTTGGTCACAATTTTCGTGATGCCATATGGAAGTAAGACAATGTTGTTTGTGCTAAACAAATAAATTTAAAAGGTAAAGTACAGTAGTATGTAAGATTACTTCAGAAACATTTGGACTTCTTATACTGTAGTGGGTATATAATGGAAGATGACATTAAGGATACTGTCTTATGAGAAGTACTGTATGTCATGTCCCTATGTATTACTGAAAAATAATTACTGTACAGTATAGTCTGGATTTACGCGGTCAATTGAACCCGTGGAGGTCCGCGTAAAACCAAAAACGCGTAAATGAAATAACAGAACATATGGGATTAATTGAAATAGAGACTGGGCCTACCCCCAAACTCCACTTTTCCCGACACAATACGTACGTTGTAGTAAAAATAACATCTTAATTTTATGATGGTATGCACACACAATTAATAATTAAGAGAAATATCAATAATATTAGGTTTTTTAACACTTACGTTAGTAGAAAAGCTGGGTCGGCACCCGTGGATGGCGGCTGGTTCCGAGGCAGAGGGCAGATTAGTTGCCCTCTGGTGAATCACTTTCACTACTCGCAGAGGTTTGCAGGGCCTCCCAGACAAACCCCTCAAAGTCCATATCCTCACTATCACTGACTTGGGCTGGCTGTGGTTGTGGTGGGTTGCGGGCGAGGAAGTCCTCAATACTACGTTGACAACTAGCATTGATGTTGTCGAGATACATCTGGATATACGGCTCCATAACTTTCGACAGAAGGTTATTAGACACTTCATACCGATGCTTGACTGTGTCTTTGTCAAGGATGAGTTTAATTTTCTCCCCCAACTCGATGATTTCCTTCATATTATCATGGCTTGGTCCAGGTTCAAGGTTTTTCTGGGGTGGTGGGGGTCCAGCGGAGGCCATTGTGAGGGGAATAGTGGGCACAAGAGAGAACTGTATATGCGGAGAACTGAAAACAATGAGACAGGCCTGGCTAGGTCAGCGACTTCTACCCTCTGGTGGCAGGGCACGTCATGTTACATTTGACCAATCACAGCTAGCGGCGGAGGGAATGCATGGGTGGTAAGGGTGCGTGACCCAATCACAGTCTGATACGTCATATGACGTCAGCGATAAATTAAGAGCGACCTAATGCGCACCACTTACCGCGCCGCTTCCCGTGTATGGTCAAGAATGGACCGTGTGAGTAAAAAATGGCGCGGCGGTCTGGACCTCTCCAGTCGCTCGCCTCGTAAAACCAAGTTTACCGTGTAATTAAAACATTTCATTCTGGCAAGGCACCGCGTAAATGACCAAACGCGTAAACAAAATCCGCGTAAATCCAGACTATACTGTATTGGATTTGAGTATAAGGATCAATTCTCTGGAAGATATCATTCATACATGAGATGTAAATATTATTAATGGGTTATGGTGCTTTTAGTCCCTTGCAAGAAGTCATTTTTCATTTGATTTTCCTCAGATGAGAAAGAAAGGGATATTAGGATATTCAGTCGGGGGTAATATACAACGTGGTGATGGCAATTTTTAAATGTGATATTTGCTAAGAAATATTTGGGACATTGATTAATTATGTGACTCATAGTGCTTGTTGGTAATGAAACTCTTAATACCTTGATGTTTGTTTCAGAGAAGTTATTTATTTTAGCTTTTTCCGTAGCTTCGGGCTCATCTTGGAGATCCAATATATCACAGACCTGATGAAACCCCAGAGGAGTTAGCAGAGAGGATACGAGAAGCACTAGATAAGCTCATACAAGAGAATCAGAAACTTCCTGGCAATATATTAAGAGCTTTGGTAGCAAGGATATATGAAAGCCCTAAGCAAGACTGATAGGTAAGAAGTTTTTTACTCAGACAGGTCATAAAACATTAAGGGTCAAAGTGAGTTCAAGAGACATATAAATATAACTAAAAGACATTTTCCTAAATACCTGAAAGGATAATATTCCAGCAATCTTTTATGTTGACTTTACATTTACCATTTTTTCTCATTTCTGTAAGAAAAGTGACTTTCAACTTAGCATGAATATTTTTCAATAAAAATATTATTATTCTCAGCTTAAATAGGATATCTTCCATTATTTATTATCTGCACAGTATTAATATGTATGTTTCAGTGCATGTACCTTAAAATCTGGTGGTATGCGTAGCTTATTGTAAAGAATTGTTGAAGACAAATACACTAGTCAGAATACTGTAGACCCATAGAGGATTATTACTTATTCTGCTGATGTAACACTTGTCACTGCTGGTCTGAGAAACATTAATAATATTTTACTGTTCAAGAGACTTATTTATTTCATACTGTACAGGTTAGCCTCCGATAACGACGATTCATATTTAAGAGCCTGGTTAATTTAGGACCCAATTCAATTTACACCATTATTTTCTTTGTATTTACGACAAAAATATTATAAAAAATAAAGTAAAATCACATTTTCATATACAAGGTATAAATAATAACTAAATCCTGATATGTATTATAAAAAAAAAAAAAAAACTTTGCGCACGGAGGCTGCCGGGCCCTTTGTTTTCATGCATCTGAACAGGAAAAGGAGAAAAACATTCTTAGCTTTCTTCTGGCATTTTTTGCATCCCCATTCAACATGATCAAGAGAGCAAGTGACAGTAGTGCTGGTTCAAAAGCTAAAAGAAAGTGTATAAACTTAGCTGAGAAACTAGATGTGTTAAATTTATATGAAAAAGGTGAGAGGTCTGTGGATATTATATGGAGCAAGCAATAAACATATTTTCTGAAGTGGATCCATTAACAGAACGAAGCATTAAAATTAACAGGGACGTGAAAAGCTCATATGACCTCTACATAAAGATGTACAGTACAATGAGAAAAAGAAAAGTGGCTGTGAAAGGTTCTTTCGACAGCTTTATTATTCGAAGGCCTAAACCATAAAATTCAGCATCATAAGCAGCCTCATTAACAGTTTCATCAACAGCTATGATATCTTTATGGAAAGCTTCAGCCAGAGTTGAACCTGATGACTTCGTCATCTGAATAAAAACTCGCACAACATTCATTGGCTGTCCTTATGTTTTAGACTTTACCACCATTTTTGAGTAGAATTTTTGTTTTACATTAGTAAGTATTATTTGAAACATATGTGAACAGTAATAAGTGTTGCTTTCGTATTCTTATGTAGAGAATTGACGATGTTTTCACATGTACGCACTAACATGCGTTGGCGTTCCCAATCAAATTCGTTTTTTCTTTACCATAATGGTTAGCTACTTCTATTGTTCCATTTATTAACATTAAATAACATTACTTAAAACATACATACAGTATTCATTTTTTTGCATTAATTTTACTACAGCAACAACCAAGGTCTTATTTTCTTCAGTTTCTTATGTAGAACCATCGTCACAGATGCATTAGTGTGTTTTAATAATCTACGTATTATTAATGAATTGCATTGTTCATTTCGCATATATGAACATTAATTCAATCAAATACATATTCAGTAATAAACAATATTGAATATTTTGGACATATTCTTAATAAGATAAATGATGCGGTTTCCTTGAGGGTGCTGTTCCACTATCACTCTCTTTTTTTCTTTAACATCAGTGGCTACTTTTACTGTACAATAAATAGCATTAATTAAAACATACAAATTTTTTTACACTATTTTTATAACAGCAACAGCCAGGGTCTTATTTTCTTCAGTTTCAGATGGATAACTGACATTATGGGTGTAAACACTGACAACAACAATAGAGTCCCATCTCCTCTTGTGTGGTCTTATTATTATTGATTTATGTTGTATAAGTGCATTCCTAAACATTATTTAAAGAATATAGTTTGCATTTTTCATTAATTGTATTATTTTGGGGGAAAAGGGGGTAAAAAGGTCACACTGGGGAATGTATCTCATTGTTATTGTTTTATTTTAATGGTAATTATTGATTCGCTATATGATGATTCACCTTACACTGCAATATTGGAGGACACATTACCGTCGTTATTTGAGGCTTTACTGTATTTATGAGTTGCAGTGCATTTCAAATATGAACCTGAAATATTAATTAATAAGATATTGGCTTCTTGTTACAGACTCAGAAACAAATGTGGGGTCAAATTTTAATTTTGTTTATTGTGGGATCTTACCAAATATTTTTGAGTTATGACTAAGATTTGTAATAATAAGCCTCATTGTGGCTCTGACATTGAACTTTTGTGCATGCAAGTTATTGATTCATCATTATATGCAAAGGTATGCAAGTATTATGTAAAAATACTTAATTGTGCAGTTATTAGTGCCACCAGAATAAAGCAATGTAATTTCTCTAGTGAGCACCTTCAGTGTTATTACATAATAAAAATGGTGCATAATTCTACACTTTCAAAACTTACTTTGAAATTCTAGTTTTTCATTAGATAGATAAGACTTATTTATCTGGAGAGACTTTTTATTACAGAAAGTATTACATCAATAATAATTCCAGCATTTTTTCTTTCTATAGAATAACAATGAGAATCAAGTTAGTTAAGGTGCAGATATGGTGAGTGCTGTACTGTACAGTACAGTATACAGGTATACACAGAAAGTTTATACTGTACCTGTACAGTATTTGATAATATAGAACATTCCTGCATAATTTTTTC